GCTTTGTCTTCAGCAGTTGTGTCGGGAAGGGCGGCTACGACTCTTACTGGCTACTTTTCACTTTCAACTCTGACATTTAAGAAAATGTCCTGGAAACGAGAAATACAAAGTTTCCCTCCTCTCTATAGCTATAAGAATGTGTAGGCAGAACCATTTGGTTAGCTAATTCCTCATAGTCATGAAGGAGATTCTCCAGTGTTGGAGGCGCCCGGTGCTCTTAGTGAATTCGAAAACCTGAGCCCCCTGGAGCTTGGAGGTTCCGTGTATGTCCCAGGGGTGGGGAAACACGGGGCAGGGAGCGTCTTACTTTTCACGGTCAGCACATAGGAACTGGGTGCTGGAACACATGGGGAGACAGCGGGTGCTCCCCCCCAGGCGGAGCGTCTGGAAGTGGTCTGGACATTCACAGGTATATCCTTGGCCTCCTGCTTTGATGAGGCAAAGATGAGAACAGCCACCATTGTTGACACCACAGGGATTTCCCACTAGGGAGAAAGGAAGAAAATACATGTCGATTTTCAGAACAGAGCATCCGGCACAGGTGAACGGATCATTCGCCTGGATACCAAACTGGTTCTTGGGCTGTGTTTTGTTGTATTGTCCAAGGGGTCACTACACCCAGCTGTCACTGTTGTTGTCCTGAGGTGCCGCCGAGCCAGTTCTGAGTCATAGCAGCTCTGTGTACAACGGGAGGAAGCACCAGCCAGTCCCGCTCCGTCCCCACACTTGCTACGTTTTAGCTCAGAGTTGCAGCCACTGTGCCCTCGCTCATGAAAACCACAAGAAGAGAGGCACAGACGCTTGTGCTGGGGCCAGAAAAGAAGGGTTTCTCAACCTGGAAGAACAGGTGGCAAACTTTGCTTAAATCCAAAGTCAAAAGTAGCACTTGAGTTTCCAGTAGACACTTCTGGCCCTCATTCTAAAGCCATGAGCAATAGAATTTGGTCAAGGATAATGCACAGTGTCTTTATTAATTGTCTGGGTCACCACTGAGAAGTAAAGATCCGCTTGAACTTTTGCTAAAATGAGGGACACTAACTTCCAGAAAGAAAACAATGAACACCTTTATTTGGCTAATTCTCACTTTCCCTTACCTGCCAAGTTCATTGTATTTCAGAGAGACATTGTAACAAAGCAAGACAACAAAAGCTATGCCCAGGCATGAGCCTTTGCTGCTCCATCTCTAAGTCACAAAAGGGCTTTAACTGAGGGAAGAGGAATATAAGTTCACAAATAAAAAACTCATTCTTCAACTTAAGACAGACCAAAATGCTTTGCTCGCAATGATATTATCTTCTGGGCGAACAGGAGCTACATCTCTTTGGTGCACAATACAATGCTGTACACAAGTAAGTACTTAATAAACGGTGTTCTATAATGATTGTAGTAGTCCTTTTAGCATTTTTCTGAAATAGATTGACCTTGTATTAAGAAACAATCATTTGCTTCTTAGGTGTCACCATTAGGTGGGTTTATAGATGAAATGCTCTTATTTTTCCAAAATTCTATTATTTAATTTTTAGGGTCAAGATACTCTTTAAATGACTTTAAAATATTTTAATCCTCTCACCAGAATAGAAATAAATATGGCAACATAACAAATATCAAGTCTTAAACCCTGAAAGAAAAGTTTCAAAGAACCTTAACTCACTCACTCACTCACTCGCTGACTTGAGGCAATTCCAACTCACAGAGGCCCTATAGGCCACGGCAGAATTGCCCCTGTGGGTTTCTGAACTATAACTCTTGATGGGTGTAGAAAACCTTATCTTTCACCCGCAGAGCAGCTGATGGTTTTGAACTGCTGACCTCCCGGTTAACAGCCGAACACGTAACCACAACACCACCAGGGATCCTGGAGGTAAGGAAATGTATTCCGTGCCCTCAACTGTCACTTATTTCTTAGCGTACACTTTAAAGAAAACATAAATACCTTTCAGAAACCATGGAGTTCATGCGTAACGAGATAAAAATGAAATACATATAAACCTAAAAGCTCGGCGAAACTTTGGCATCATCTACTCACCAATTGGCTGCCTGTATGGATGATACACATGGATGTCAAAGGGTCTGTGTGTTGTGTTCATGAGCAACATCCTACTTGATCCGTCGTATTTGTTTCCCTTTTCAATGGACCTTGTATTCCAATCTGTCCAGTAAACAGTGTCCTCAAAAATGGTAATAGCAAAGGGGTGTGGCAGCATCCCGTCATACACTGTGTGCCGGTTGTGGCCCTCCAAATCAGAGTACCTGGCAATTGGACGAAGAAACAGTCACTCACTCCATGGAGAAGACAACCCCGCTTCTCCAGTGTCGTTAAAGATAAATGAATGAACAATTCAATGGAGACATGTCTACTGATGATTACAGCCCAGGAACCTCTATGGGGCCATTCCTCTGTGTCCTAATGGCACACAGCAACAATAGAGAGAGATGAAGGAGTCCTATTAGTACTTAGCTGCTAACCAAAATGGTGTGGTTGAAGCCCACTCACCACCGCACGAGGGTCAAAGGCCTGGAAATCTCCCAAACCATTGCCCTGGATTCCTTCTGACTCATAGCGACACAACAGAATGGCCTTGATGCGGTTTTGAAAACTGTAAATCTCTAAGGAAGAAGTCCACCACATTGATCTCCCACAAACGAGTTGGTAGGTTCAAAGCTCTGGCCTTTTGGTCAGCGGTCAAGCACTTTCAAGGCCGTGCCACCAGGACACTGCCCTGTAAAGTGTATAGTCCAGGAAACCCGGTGGGAAAGTTCCATGCTTTCCTGTGTGTTCACCCTGAGTGCAAAATAGACATGGGGGCACCCCACTACCAACAGACGCAACTGAGGTCCAGCCCTTCAATAAGCCTACAGGATATTCTGTAAACACTGAAAAGCAATAGGGAAAAAAGGGTTGAAACAATCACTGATTCCTAACCACTGCTGCTTCTCCACAGCTGCTCCAGCTGCAGGTTTATCGTCTTTTATATTGGTGTTCTCCATTAAGCATGCTGTGGCAAACCTCCTTGCTACCTAAGTCGTTGTAAGACATCAAAAGACAGCGATAGATCGCGAAAGTGTGATTTGCGGTCAACAGTTTCTAAGCGAAGTTCTCCTAGAGGACAGCGGGGCTGTTAGCATAGCCTGAGAGGAATGTTTGAGCTGAGTTAAATTATAGACCTGCAGGGTTGATTTTGCATACAATGGCAGCAAGCCCGGAGACCCAGAGTGAATACCCCTTCCTGAGGAGGAAAGTTCCAGTCAAGGAACTCTGGAGATGTCCAAGGTCTCCCCATTCTTACGACCAAGACTCTACGTCAGAACTGACAACCTCAGGGTCAAGTGAGCCCCTACCAACCGTGATCATGTTAGCCACGGGTTGTTAAAAAGCTTTGCCAAGGAAAAGACTTGCTTAGCGTTTTGTCGATAAGGAATGCAGGTATATGACAAGGACCTGGTCACCATGTGCTCCCAAAAAAAATCATAGCTCACACAGTAGTCTTGAACAGTCCAGGTAGGGGCTGCATGGGCCTCACACACTGGAAACTCAAAGCCTGATGTTACCTAGTGGCTTTAGTCCTTTCTATGTACGTACTCGATGTAGCCCAGGTGGGCATCTGCCCAGTAGAGTCGGTCATTGGTGTAGTCGATGGTGATGCCATTGGGCCACTCTATCTTGGTGGAGATAATCACAGACTTATTGCTTCCATCCATGCCTATTCTCCCAATGTATGCAGGGTGAGCCCAGTCAGTCCAGTACACATGCCTGTTCAAGCAATGCAAAGAGTTAGTTCCTGAAGTCCAGAGGATCCAGTAGTGTGACCATAGGTCTTTCTTCTTTGTGGAGGGAGCAAACAAGGAATCAATCTACAAGAGAAAAGGTGGGCGGGCGGGAGATAAAATACGGGAACTGTTGAAGAATTAATATGAGAAGCTGTGCACGGATCACAATGTTGTTTGCACGAAAGCATGACTTGAAAGGTGACAGTGTGTTGTGGCAATAAAAACAGAAAGGCGGATGAGAATACCCATTGGACTAAATCATTTACCAGGTAGGAAAAGTGAAAGACCAATCCCAGCAAGATATTGGCCTTGAGATAATTACGTGAACAGCCTTTTTGGGGTAACGGTGGCAGAATATGGGCATAAGCGAGGAGAGGAAACAATACCCGATTCGTGGATGAAGGACAATTCCCCTGGGATTTTCAAAGCAGAAGGTGTTGTTGACATCCACACAGTGCTCGGCCAGCTTGCGACGGAATCGACCATTGAGATCGGAGACAAAGAGGCCATTCAGTGAAGCATCCAGCCAATAGAGTTTCCTAAAATTGAATGCTGAGTGTCACTGACCAGTCATTTTGCTAGTGAACTATGCATATTTTACTGCAGGATTTCCTACCATGCTACCTTGAAATCTCAGTCAGCTATTTCCTAAAGTAAAGGAAGAATATGGGGAAGCAGGAAGTTGGCCTTCCTGCAATGAAGCAACAGTGTGAGTGTGTGACACCCCTCCACTTTGAAGTCAAGTCTCTTAGGGAATTCGGGGGCCACCTGCCACATAAGGAGTCTGTTTTTACTATCTTCGTGAAGCATAGGAATCTTTCCCAATCAACAGGAAAGCTTAGAGGAGCAGGGAACTTGAAGCAATAGGATCATGAACGATATTTTAAGGGGTAGAGTGGAGGAAACACTGCCCAGTAGACATGCCTGATCAGGCCAACTGGCTATATAACTGCATCCCTGAAATTGCCCAGCATAGAAGAAGCTCAGGTAAGTATTTCTAAATAACAGAATGCATAAATGAAGCAGTCCTTAATACCATCTGCATGGAGCTAACTGAACAGTCAGCAATAGTGTAGCTTCTTCCACCCTGATGATGGCCTGCAAGGAAAATGACACCACGAACAATCCTAAAATCGCATCGCAGGCTTCGTGGTATCCCATGTTGAGTATTAAGCACACAGCAAAAATTAACATTTAAAAATTGCAAAAATTCACTATATTCCCAAACTGTCCCAAGTTTAAAAGATTAAGTTTCTACTCAGGTGACAAGGTCATTAGAATGTTTGATCGATGTTTTATTACCTGGTAACCCAGTCTACAGCCAGACCTTCCACAGCTGGTAGATCATGGCTCATGACTGTTTCTTGGTTTGTTGTATTGAGAAATACTCTCTCAATGACTTTCCTCTCTGTATCAGCCCAATACAGTCTGTTTTCCACTCGGTCAAAATCCAAGGCCACAACATTGCCTAGTCCTTGCAAAAGGAGAGTGTAAAAATCCCCATCGAGCGCTAGCTTTCTCACATAGTAGCGGTTGCTAAAAATGAGGTAGGGCTCGATGTCACTGTTCTGTCGACAGCTCTTTCCATCCCCTTCCCGAATGTAGCCCGGAGCACATTTACAGATGTAGGAGCCGATCGTGTTCTCACAGATCTGGCTACAGACAGAGGGCGTCTCCTGGCATTCATCAACGTCATCACAGGTCCGGCCGTCCGACATAAGCTTGTAACCAGGAAGACACGAGCAGTAGAAACTGGTTTGCGTATCTGTGCAGTTCTGATCACAACCACTGATGGAAGGGTCACTGCACTCATTAATGCCTGTCGGGAAAAGACCGTTTCAGAGGACCGGAAATGACCAGAGCCCAAACAGAGCCAAAGATGCTCACTGCCTTATATATCAAGGAGGCTCTGTCTTCCGATTGACAAGCAATAGTAATTTTATGGCAACGTATGACTTGGCAGTCCTAATCAGTTCTAAGGGGTTGAGTGCCACGTTCAGCCTCCCCCCGCCCCCGCTGCCTTTTCTCCGTCTTGTGCTGTACTCACCACACCCTTTCTCATCACTGTTGTCCGTGCAGTCATCTAGATGGTTGCAGGCCTTTGCCATCTCAATGCAGTGCCCGTTGTCGCATCGAAACTCGTGAGGGGGGCATGTTGCTTCTGGGGTGCTGCACAAATGCTCCAGCTCATCAGACTCGTCTCCGCAATCGTTGTCCCCATCACAGACGTAGCTCTTGTGGATGCAGCGCCCATTCTGACAGGTAAACTGATTCATGGAGCACGTGGGGTATGTGCAGTTTCTCTCGTCACTGTAGTCGCCACAGTCGTTGCGTCGGTCACACCTGTGTAGAGAGCCAGGACCAGGCTCAGAGAGGTTGCCACGCCTCAACTCTGATGCACTTGGGGTTTTGTTTCTTCGTCTCTAATGAGGTGAAGGCCGGGTCAGCCATTTCCAAGATGCCATCACCAGCAGCCCCATCTTCTTTTCCCTTGGAATCTTCATCTACTCTACCAATCTCAAACTCTAGCTGTATTTCATTTTCCATACACTTCTTTCCATACAGCAAAGAACAACATACAATTTCTTTTCATACATACAACATACAGATTTCATACATACAACATACGAGTTTCACACACACAACTTTACATACACACAACATAAAAGTTCCATACATACTACACACAACTTTCCATATATACAACATGCGAGTTTCATACACACAACACGTGATTTTCATACAACACACTTTACATACACGTTTCACGCATATTACATACAACCTTCCATACATACAACACACGTTTCATGCATACAACTTTCCATACACACAACATATGAGTTTCATACATGCAACATGAAGAAACTTTCCATACATACAACAACTTTCCATACAACAAGTCTCATACAACGACTTTCCATCCAGGTGCCATTTGCTACTACTGGAAATTGGAGTCTATAGCTACTAAAAATAATTGCATTCGTTTTCTTCCAGTTGGGATAGTAACTAAATACAACTCTTATTATCTGGGTGCCCATTAGAGCTACTCGTCAGATAGTAAGACAGCTAACGGGCACAGGCAATACCCTCATTGTCCAAGGACGACAAGTGTCCAAACCTAACTGGAAGCCACTGAGTGAGTGTTATACAGTATAAATCATAAAATTACTGGATGCATCCTCTAACAACATGTAGCTTCACAACGGGTTAATCTGGCATACCCATCCCTCCCAGGTTTCATTTTCATGCTCGAACCACCTATTATATAACACGTGAGCTGCTATGATGATGGAAAAGGGGCCAACCTAGTGGGGGCATATGAAATCTTGGCCAAGGAAGAAGTATTTCACTGTACAATATACTAGCTGCTTTAGGAACTAACACCCTCAGGCTTCTTTTCTTAAATCCTGTGTGACAGAAAGGATGTTCTTCTATATAGTATGCCAAGAACCCATGAAAGGTGGATCAAGATAGTCAAAACTAGTATTTGACCCCAAAAGGATTTTCCATAGACCCAGACCAAAAAAACTAAAAATGAACTCACATCAAGTCAATACCAACTCAATGACCCTGTAAACGAGGGCAGACAGAACTGCTCCTGTGAGGTTGGTTTTTTTAATAATTTTATTGGGGGCTCATCACAATTCATACATATAGCCATTGTGCCAAACACATCTGCACATATGTTGTCATCATCTTTTCCAGAACATTTTCTTTCTACTTGAACCTTTGGTATCAGCTCCTCATATTTTTTTCCTCCCTCCCCCATGTCCCCTTGATAATTTATACGTTGTTTTCTCCATGTCTTACACTGACCGCTGTCTCCTTTCACCTACTTTTCTGCTGTCTGTCCCCCTGGGAGGAGGGCCCTACATCGATTATTGTGATTGGTTCCCCCTAACTCCTCCCCACCCCCTTACCCCCCTAGTATTGCTGCTCCCCTTATTGGTCCTGAAGGTTTTGTATGGCCTGGATGCCCTGTGTTGCGAGCTCTTATCTGTACCAGTATACATGTTCTGGTCTAGCCAGATTTGTAAGATAGATTTGGGTCATGAGACCATAACTGTTCATGGGAGTAGAAAACCCCATCTTTCTTCTACAGAGTGGCTAGTGGTTTTGAACTGTGGGCCTTGTGGTTAGCAGCCCCCCTCGTAAACCCTACACCACTTGGGATCTTCGCTATAGAGACATGGGAGATATAAAAGCACCTGCATTAACTAAATCTGGCCAATTTTTTCAACAGACCTATGGTCAAATCTGCCATCCACAAAGACAGGACTGTCGTGATTGACACTCAATACATACGTGTAACTGTGAAGACAGCAGTCATCAAAGAAAACTGACTTGGCCTCATTTTTCTCCTGGGAGCTATTTAACTCATTCCTAAATGATCAAGAGTTCATTCTCTCTAGTCTAGATCCAACCCAAGAAGAGAACGGTCCATGAGGCAAGCGTGCACCATGTTGTAGACACACAGGCACCTCGGTATTCCAGCGAGCTGCTTACAGGTTCTTCAGAACCCCAGTGACGAGCACGAGTCGGAAATACGGCCCCTGTGCCACCGAACCAAAAAGAGGAGCACAGACGTGCTCTGCCGGCAAACAAGGAAACGCACATTAACAGAGAGAGAGGAAAAGAAAATCCTTCTTGCACCCGGCCTCCAGTCAAAGGGGAAACGCAAGAGGACCGTCTGCTTCCGGAAAGCACTGTCCTACAGCAAAGCCTCTTCACACTCTTTTCCTTGGCCCCTTGGGGACATGATGCCTTTTGTGGGTTCTGGACACACGGCTTCCACGGTCCTCCTTTTCTCCATAAAAAACATATTAAAGATTCTATTTGGGGACTGCATTGGCATAAAAGGGAATGCCGGTGATGTAGTGGGTAATGTGTTGGCTGCTAACTGAGAAGCCAGCAGTTTGAAACCACTAGCTGCTCTGTGGGAGAAAGGTGAGGTTTTGGACGGGCTTTCGACTCCCATGAAGAGTTACAGCCTCAGAAAGAGGGGTAGCTCTACCCTGTCCTGTAGGGATGTTATGAGTCAGCAAAGGCTCAGTGTCAGTAAGTTTTGGTATAAATGCAAATATGGTAATATTACATATATTAGTATACTTTTCATCTGATTTTAACAGAAATTCAAACCCTTCAATAGGTCACTAAATTGTTGTGGCCGTTGGAACGAGGGAACCGATTACAAGATCTACTTGTGACCTCCTCCTTGGGGGACGGACAACAGAAAAGTGGGTGAAGGGAGACATCAGACAGGGCAAGATATGACAAAATAATAATTTATAAATTATCAAGGGCTCATGAGGGAGGGGGAGCGGGGAGGGAGGAAGGAAAATGAGGACCTGATGCCGGGTGCTTAAGTGGAGAGCAAGTGTTTTGAGAATGACGAGGGCAATGAATGTACAAATGTGCTTTACACAATTGATGTATGTATGGATTGTGAGAAGAGTCGTATGAGCCCCTAATAAAACGATTAAAAATAAATAAATAAATAAAGTTAGATGGCAAGCTTGGGGAAAAAAAATTGTTGTGCCCGAGGTACTGCATCTACTATGTTATCTGAATGACTCGGTCATGGCCAATGAACCCTGATGGTGCAGAGGGTTAAGTGTTGGGCTGCTGAGTTAACTGTAAGGTAAGAGATTCAAACCCACCAGTGCTCTGCAGGGGAAAGGTGAGGTTATCTGCCCCCACAATGATTTACAACCTTTGGAACCCAAAGGAGTAGTTCAGCTCTGTCTAACAGCGTTGATGCGAGTCAGTGTGGGGAGTGGCAATGGGAGCCCCCATGGACATTGAGGTTTACTGGGGAACCCTCTAATCCCCGAATCACCTGTATGAGTTCCAGACGCAGAGTCCATTTTCACAGGTGAATTCATTTCCAGAGCAAGATCTCCTGGTGCAATTCTGATGTTCATCATAAGCATCACTGCAGTCTGCATCGCCATCACAGACCCAGGTTTGGGGAATGCACCGCCGAGAGGGAGGCGCGCTGTTTACACATGAAAACATTGAACTTGGGCAGGTATGGTTGCCTGAAGTCAAAAAACAGAAGGATCAAAGGTCACATGAGAGTTTATTCACCCTGCGTCATTTTTTTCCTCTTGCTTTTGAGGATACTCAGTTTTCCAAGGGATAAATGGAATGAATGGAAAAGGGGGGACCAGATCACATTGTCATGATAATTATGGATCCTAATTTTAAAAAAGAAAATACCTCTCAAAATTCCATTTGAATTGCTTTGCATCTTAGACCTTTCAGAATTAAGAAGCAAACATTAACAACAGCCCACATTGCATTTCCCATCTATTTATGAAAACCACTTTCTTTTATTACCTGGACACCAAAGAAGTAAGCTTAAAATGAGGGTGTATATATATATCTGCAAATTCATATAAACCTTTATTAGAGAAAAATATCAAAATGTCAATTTATTGTGTCTTAACCGAGTCTCCATCTGGTCTCTGCCCTTCTGAAGAATTCTACACTCTGAGTTGCACCATGTCAAGACAGTAGTAGTGTACATGTGTGCAGGCGACTCAAATCATCTTCCTTTTAGGTGTTCTTTGAGTTTGAAGAACAAAAATAAATCTGAAGGAGCAAGATCCCAGCTATGGGGCAGATGGTGTAGACGTCCCAATAAAAACATCATGCTTGCTTCTCTCGAAGAATGAGCAGGCATGTCATCGTGATGGGGAAAGTCCCTGGTACAACCTCTTGGTCTTTTCCTCACCGACGCAGTTTTCAGTTGTCTTAAAACTTCTTCAGAATCCCATAATCCTTCAAGAAAATCAGCATGGCCCTTTTGGAATCCCAAAAAGCTGCCACCGTGACCTTTTGAAATGTACCTCTCTGCCTTGAATTTAACTGGCCCTGCAGATTCTCCTCAGAAGCCACAGTTTTGCCTGAACCTTAAATGAGAACAGTAAATCCAAGATGCGAATCTGGTTAGGATTTGCTCCTTGCTGGAACGACTGATGGAAAGGTCAGGTGTTGGCATTACCTGGCCTTCACGCAGTGCTTCTGGTAGCCATCAAGCCATGAGAGTGTGGAGGTCATGACGTGAGGAACCCCAACATCAACGGCTAGTCCACAGTCATTCCACCATCTTCTTCCGCCACCTCTTGGACTTCAGCCGTCGAGGATGATGTTCTTCCCTCTTGGCTCACCTTTAAGTCCTCCTGACTTTCCTTAAAATGTTTGGTCCATCCAAAACTGGTGTGTTACGTGGGGCAGCATGCCCACAAACTTAGGGAAAGCTTCAATCACTTGGGGCGGTGTCCACTTGAATTCTGTTAACAATTTGACGGTAGGCCTGACCTCAAAATCATTTTTGATAATGGCACAGAAAGTGGTCGTTATGTCCAGGGACCCTACTGGGGCTCAGAGCGGTATACTGCTGAGAGGACGTGTCTGCAGCCCTCCACTAATCAGAGGCGTCTCTGAACACATTCTGTCTGGATTAAACACGTGCGTGTAGGAGACCTGGCCGACAGTGGGCTATTCTTTCAGGCCATCTTGGAAACCCTACCGAGCCGTTGCCGTTACGCTGTGATGTCCTGGAGGGCAGCTCGATGGTAGTGGTATGTGGCTTTGTGTGACCTGGGACCCTAGGAGCAAGACTTCTTGACTTCTCTCATGTAGCACCATTAAAAACCTCAGAATAAAAGAATAAGTATTGTATCCAACCTCACTGTGGAGACAGTATATGTGGAGTTCTGGGTCACTACCAAAGTCAGCAGCGTGAGATCAAAATCGACCCCAGCATCAGAGAGCCCTTTTTGTGACCAGCTGTCCTACTGTGGACATCCTTTTCTGACTAACCCCCTCGGCTGAAGAGCCCATGCAATGCTGGCAATGGAAAGGAACAAACAAAAAATAGTCCACTGCCATTGAGTTGATTCCAACCCAGTGTTCACAATACATCTAAGGAAAACGTCCCTAAGAACAGGTCCAAGCAAGCGTAAGAGATGAGGCTGTTGACCATTGTTAAAACTGCTATTAAGAGTGATCGACAGAATTGTAGACTTTATTGCTATCAACTACATGCAAGAGAGGGTGACGTCGGCATTGTGCCACTGGGCGACCGAGTGAAAAACAAAGGGAACCTTCTCTCAGGGATGTCTGAGCATCGCGCTCACCAAACACCGGGAAACCACCCCACGCTGGGACCCCGGGGACGGGACCCTGAAGAGATGTTCACTGGCATCACTTACCACAGTTGTGCCTCGCATCCTCATCGCTCATGTCCCCACAGTCATTGTCACCGTCACAGATCCAGCTATTTGAAATGCACCTCCCATCGTCACACTGGAACTGTCCGCTTGAGCAGGTTGGCTCATGGAACTCTGCAAAAGGATAAAACTCACTCTCTGAGGGGAAAATATAACACTGCTTGCAGATCAAAAACCTTGGGAGCGGCCTACTGTCCCATGGGGACTTGAAGCAGTGCTAGCTGGTCACGTGCACTCTCAGGCTGGTGCTCCAAGGAGGTCGACACCAGTGGCCAATAGTTTGAGGTTGAAGTGATCGATCAACAATGCAAAGTCCTCAATACCTGGTGATTAAGATGAGGGCTGCTGCTTCCTTTCAGGTACGAGAGACTACTGATGGTATTTTCCAAAGGGGATATACAATACCTACTACGTCACATGTTCCTACTATTAAATCTATTTTTTGACCAAAATCATTGTTTGGCGCCAATTGCCATCACTAGAACACCTGATCCCCACACCCCTGCTCCGGTTTTCCTTTTCTCCTGAGCATGAAATCCCTTTCAGAATATTATTCAGTTGACAAATCTCTCCTCTCCCTGGAATGTAAGCTCCTTGTGAGCAGAGACTTTATTGACCGAAGTACATGTTACTAAGTAAATATCCATTGCACCAGAATGATAACAAATTCATGCTCTAAGGTGGTCGTTATGGATTCAGATTATGTCACCCCTATTCCACCTATGACCCTAGTCAAAGCATCACAGATCCATAGATTCAGGACCCTTTCAGAACACACTTACAGACAACAGAATGCTTAATCTGAACGACTAACAAACAGCACCATGACAACAGCTGAGACGACACTGTCATGAAAGGAATGGACACTGATAAGGCTTTTTGGAAGAGACGGAGCCCCTTGGACACAATAGACACTTCCAGAAATCTTAGCCTAAAAAGAATCTTCCCACACATGCACAGTGTAGCATTGTTTTCCATAGTGGAGAAGTATAAACTACCTACCTACCTATTCCATTTTAAGAAAGGGATAAAAATCCATAGAGCATCCATACTTTGGGGTCACATTCGGTGGAGCAGAGGAAGGAGGCAGATCTTTGTCAGCTGGCATGATGCTGACAAGATGATGTTAAACTAAAACACACACACACACACACACATAAGGCAAATTGCAGAAAAATATACATGTTATGATCCCATTTAAAACATATGTCTCATGATAAACAGATTAAGGTGAGGAGAATCCACATCCATACTTAATAGTGATTGCCTCTAGAGGGGATTTGGATAAAGGTAAAGAAATGGAAAAACAAAACACAAACAAGCAAACGCTTTCTATCTGACTTGCTAGAGTAAGTGAGGATGAATGCCTATATAGCTCTGAGTGTGGCACTAACTGCTATTCCCATAACTTTGGTTCCCATACGTTGGGCTGAGGTTTCTATATAATGCTCTTCCATATGGTTCATATGTAATTGGAGCCACTCTCCACCATTCCACTGTTGTGCTCACTGGAGCTATTATCATTCCCTTGACCGATCCTCAAAACTCCACACACCCTTTTCCTCCTAGAAAACGTTTAGTATTTGGGGGGCGGTAATGTGGAATTTATCAAATAGCTCAAACTATCAGCCACAGAGTTTCAGTCGAGCACAAAAAGTATTTTGAATTCACCTGTAAAATTCTGCTAATAACCCCAAGGAAATATTCCAAGTGCAAAACATTCTATACAGGTTAGAAATTGCTGAAGCATTGTTCATAATAGATGAAAAAGTTGAAGATAATTTAAGTGCCTAATAACAGAGACAGAGTTAACTCAGTGTTAATATGACCATTCAATAAAACCGTGCACAGCCACTGAAAGAACGCTGTGAGGGGCTGTCGAGTCAGATCTGAGTCATAGCAATCCGCTGTGCGACAGAACAAAACACGGCCTGGTCCTGTCCCATCCGCACAACGGGTATTTGAGCCCATTGCTGCAGCCATCGGGCCAACTAGAAGAACGCAAAGACTATATAACGGACATCAGTAACATTTCTATTAACCAGACTGCAAATATGTGGGGCTTGGAGGCCACACAGTTTCTACTGCACCTACTTGACTCTACTATGTGGGCTGTGTTCTAATAAAATGTTATTTATTATTTATCAAAGCAGGTGACTGGGTGCCAGTCATAGCTTGCTCATCTTTCTATGGCTATATGACTTCAGGGCAGGTTAAAAAAAAATAAACAGAGCAGAAAGTGGATGTGTGCCCACAGTGTGGCCCCATTGCCCTGCATGGAGGATGATTCCGTTCACTTTTGGCTCCTTCCACCGTTCTGTGGATCAGGACTCGGTCAAATTCAGAAATTCTGAGTTAACTAAAATTAACTGAGTGCTTCCAGGCAGCCACCGTACTCCATGCATTATGCGCATCATCTCATTTATCAGTATCAATCATCAAACTTCATGTGCCAAGCTCCCCACACCGTGCCCCGTATTACTGCTGGGGATCTCAGCTTCCCAGTTTCTAGCGTGAGCAGAAGGAGGCATCGCTTGGCAGCCATGAACCTGAGCTCTGTATCTGGAGTGGTGGGAAGAGACCGTAGCCCTTGAGGAGCATCACAGTGCTTTTCAAGCGTGCTTGTTCTCTTACCACAAGAGGGAGGTTCATCAGAGCCATCGCCACAATCTTGGTCTTGATCACAGTACCATCGGGAAGGGATGCACCGCCCAGATGCACACAGGAACTCGCTGTCGGTGCACGTGTTAGTAGCTGGGGGAGATACGGAAAAGAAAGCCCCTGAGCCAAGCACAGGCTGTTCTGTTCCCATCAGCCTGGAACATCTGTGATTCACTTTTCTTTTCTTTTTTTTTTTCCTAAATTGGATATTAGTTGCCAAAAAAAGGAACACTGGGGTGAGAAACAGGATGAGAGGAATATTGAAGAGAGGAAAGAAAGGCATTATTGCTGTAACTGTCCAAATAAGAAATAAACTGTAGACGCATCCATGAAATCAGTTACATAAGCAATATCAAATAAGGCTTTGTTTTATTTTTTCGTGAGCATGAACAATTTCAAAGGATCCTTTGAGATAATAATCAAAGGCAAAAGCATCTATCTGAGCATATCTGCTCTTACGCCAGAACCAATCTTTTAGCTGTGTTAGCCCACAGGTCTAGAGAGTCAGCAAAATTCTCCTCCATATCCAGGTGCTATAAGACATTTCTTTGAGTAAATGGAAGATTCTACCAATGTTCTTTACCCGAGTAACCTTAGGTGGTCCTGGGGCAAGTGTATTTCACAAATTGTGATGTGGGCCCATCCAAAATCAAATCTTCTGGTCTACAAGCCTCCCTGATTTTGGCCCAGGATATCTGATGATTTTCCAGGAAGAACAACATTGATAGAGAGGCAGAGGGCCCTGAAAGGTCATCAGTAACTCCAATCTGTCTGACCCCATCTGATGTCTGTGTTCTGACTAACACTTCCCCGTTCTGCTGGGATAGCAATGGACTCCTGTTCTCGGCCTGTAGCATGCTCTGGTGATCAATCATTACGATGTCCTGTGGCTTCCTCAGGAGAGGACCAGGGGCCAGATACCATTAACATGTGCTAAAGTTTAATTAATAATAAGTACTACTACATTCTTGAATGTGCAACTTATCTGTTTACACAAGCATTCTCAAAGTTGTCAAGCTTAAAAAGGGCCTTTTAACCTGAGCTGTACTAATACGGTCCATTATTTGACGGAGACAAATGAACACATATTTTTGTGTGTTCTGAAATTCAAACCTTCTAAGCAGATATAAAAGCATGTCCAATGACAGGAAGCCTGCCTGTATACGGTAAAAGCCTGAGCTACAAAAGCAGTCAGACTGCGCCCGGTCAAAGGTGTGAAACGTGGACGACTTGGAAAAACAGCACAGGCCCCACAAGCCTGCTTCCACAGGCGTCCCTGTCTTAGGAGTCACCATCATTACATTTCAAGTAAATAACAGAAATTCAGCATGCAAATACTGTGAGAAATCGCTCTACCGTTATACAGAGAGGGGTACCAAAGTAGGTTTCTAGAGGAAATACCTGAGGTCTGGGGGTTCAGCCAGGCCACAGAGGGAAGGGTTTCCAAGGCCCTTTCAAGCACGCTCTGTCTGTCTCCTGACAAGGTTGGTTGGAGTTGAGAAATTAAACTAGCCCAAACTCCAAGGTCCTAAATATTTCCTCAAGACATACATCCCTAGAACCACCCAAAGAGGCCTGGGTCCATCTTACTCACCACAGTACGTGGGGCTCTCATCACTCCGATCTCCACAGTCATTGTCTCCATCGCACAGGTAAGTGCGCGGAATGCAGATATTGTTATTCTGACATTTTGTGTATCCAGACGGGCAAGTTCGGTCAGCTGGGGAAAGGCAAGCAGATGAACATCTGGGACACGTGGACCAGGTAAACACTCGGAGCACATCCACAAGTCCCCAAGAGTGAGTACAGACTGGACCACAGCAGCTCAGGATGGACAGGCGTGTGTTCACGTGCACAAGAAGGTTTCGGGAAGGTCACTGGAAACGGTCACCATCTCTTAATCTCATTTATCTACTGACTTTTTAAAGGCCTCTCATAAATATGTGTGTATATGCATACATTTAGATGCATTCATATGTACATGTGAATACACATCTATATGAAGAGATGCTTATATTTAAAACAATGACAAGATAAACTAACAAAATAGATCACCCAATAGATAATGAGTCCTGGCGGCACTGTGGGTGAGGGACTGTCAACAGTTGGAGCCCACTCTGCTCCGGGGGAGAAAGGTGAGGGGTCTACTCTCCTGGGTACTGACAGTCTCAGAAACCCAACGGAGCCGCTCTCCGGTCTCTGTGAGTCTGAACAGACTCGGTGGCAGTGGGTTGGGTTTGGGTTTTCACCTGTAAGAACTGGCACACCATGGAGGAGGGTGAAAGGTGGAGAGGGGAACAGTGTAAGACCTCTGCATGTATATGTCTCTGTGGGGTCATTTGTAGTTTGCAAGTGTGTGTGTTGTTTTGTACAAACGAAAGCAATGTCACAGAAATTGAAAAAGGAAAATGGTTCCTAGATTTGAGAAACAATAGCAGAGGATGCTACTTTGATGGTATAATCTTAGCACGATACAATCTAGGGACAAATGGACCTAAAACGGTACAATGATTTTAGTAGCTATTTTGTGAGTAACAATATTTGTGTAGCTACTTGGAATACAAGCCCTTTGAAATTACTACAGAAGAAAATAATTAGGTTAATGACTTTAGGATAAGATTCTAAGTATAAGAAGGGAATGATTATAAAATTTAAGAGGTTAAGGAGGTGGGAGGAAATCTTACATGGGAAATGTTAAGATATATTTAATTTTTTTTCTTTAAAAATTATATTTCCTAGCTCTGTCCGCTGATAAAGCCTAGAAGCAATACCGTAAAAAACAAAGATGAACGAGCATCCATGACTCTGAGACCCTATAGGATGGAGTAGAACTACCCCCTGTGAGTTTCCAAGATTGTAACTCTTTTTAAAAAAATCTATTTACATCTCTCTTCAAGTTTATTTCTTTTCAATTATAGTTTCAACTTAATTATTTTAATGAGCTTTGGATATTGAACACAAACTTTAAATATTATTATAATCTTTCCTCCTTGTCTCCAGATTCAAAGTTGAGACACCTGGGTTGATATTCAATTAAAAGTGTTCATTTGATTATAACTCTTTATGGGGGTAGACAGCCTCATCTTTCTCCCGTGGAATGGTTGATGGTTTCAAACTGCTGACCTTGTGGTTAATGGTCCCATGTGTAACCCACTACACGATCAGAGCTCCTCCTTAACAATGTGGCAGTTTCTAAACACCACAAAAGATATTCAGTCAGCTTGGCAAATCAGCCTATTCCGGGTCTGAGATAGGAGATGGATAAGACAAAAACTAACTGCCGCTGAGTCGATACCAACTCATAGCGACCTTATAGGATTTGTGAGAACTGTCCGTGTGGGTTTCCAAAGCTGTAACTCTTTAAGGGGGTAGTAGCTCAACATGTAGCTCACTACAGGAGTCGTGGTCACATACAAGACTGCTCAATGTTAAGTTCAGCCGGGCAAGAGTTACAGTCTTAGACATTCACAGAGGTGACTCGGAACTATACAGTCCCTGTATTGCAGTCAAATCAACAGACAGGGAGTGTAAGGCAAGCCTAAGCCATATCAAAAGAATCCAGAGGCCAATGTGGAAGTGTTCCCACAGGCCTAAGCTAGGACACTTGACCACCAATGTAACAAATGAATGCACTGTATTAAATTTTCATTAGTCAAACTCATTGTATATGTTTAAACACTCAAAATGGGACAGGCAGGACTGATGTGCTTCCTAATGTGATATCACAGGAAATGCATAGTGTGCTTAGGAAGAATCTTCACCCAAAGCCCTAAACCTAATGTGATCAAACCCCTAGCTCTAAATCCCCGTTAATAGAAATCATTGGCTTAATTACATTATTAGCCAAATCAAGAGAGCAGGCTATTTCATAAAACAAATTACCAAGTTTTACTAATAAATCTATGTCACAAAAGGTTGGGAACTAGTGTGGAATAAAAGTGGGAATAAATGACAACATTTGAATATGGACTGAGCACTAAGGATATCAAGCAATTCTTGTTGGTTTTGCTGGCCATCAAATAACATGTCAACTGTGTTTTTCTATCTCAGTGATAAATGTATCTCTGATGGGCTTTTAAATACTCAGGAAAACGGGGTAGGGGTTACAGACGAAATGAGATTGGCTTTTTATTGATAATTATCGAAGCTGTGTATGCAAACAGAATAGAAATATTATTTCTATTTTTGTACATGATCAAAATTTCCCCCAAAGTAAAGGACTTTTAAAAAGCAGAGTCAAATAAATAATGTGTGTAACTACAAAAGCAGGGGAGTATGTTGGTTTACCCACAATGAAAGTACCATGATTGGTCTGATACTCTGATCTCTTACTTTCTTGAGGCTAAAGGACAAATCACAAATCCCTGGAAATGTATTGAACTGAAAGATTATTCACCAGAAAGCTGATGGTGCCTGGCTACCAAAAGATATAGCGTCTGAGGTCTTAAAGGCTTGAAGGTAAACAAGCAGCTCTCTAGCTCAGAAGCAACAAAGCCCACATGGAAGAAGCACACCAGCCTGT